CCAACAGGCAGCTTACCTGCAGCAATGCATAAACGTGTTAGCTGGCTTTCGATGAAAAGCCTTCAAGATTGTGCTGTAGCTGCAGCAGCTCATTTTAGCGGAGGATCTAGCATTGCTACAGATTCTCAACACGGAGCAGTTCCTCGCTTTCCAAAAAAGAGAGATAGTAGTGGAATTCTTATCGATAATTGTTCTGGAAAGGATTCAAGATTTTGTGATACTCGTTCATCAAATAGTCAATTGGGCAGTCTTCTCCAATTAAACAACACAAATAACAACAGCGGTACTCTTTTTGGTGGAGTAGATGACACACTTGGTTATGATACAATGGACTGTGCTGATACACCTCCAATTGATACAATGAGTTGGAGCAATATTGGTAAAACGAATCCTGTTTAGGGGTATTGGGACATATTGCGACATGATTATTTTGAAAAAATTTTATTATTAAACTATTAAATTATATTCAATTATTTCTGCAGACGAGTTTGACAATGTGACTTTGATGTATTCAAAACATGAAAAAATTCCAATGAAAGATTTTGGATCTGAAATCCGCGCAACAATGGACATTGACCACTTGTTAAATAAAGCTGTATTACTTTTGGATTTGCAAGAAACTTCATTAGAAGAAATTTTTGCAAAGTTAGTTTACGGATTTCTTTAGTGTGTATTTGTTTAAATTTTAGAATAATTCATGAAATGGATATCCAAGAACCAGAATTTACTAGCGAACAAGTTCGTTCTGTTCTTTTTACGCAAGATGCTGGAAATCAATGTATGATGTGTTTTACTTTAAAAAATATGTCTAATTATTTTTAGTTCACATTTTGAGTCGAACAGTACAAAGCATTTGCACAACTGGCACAGTTGGTGGAACTTTTGATTATGATCAAACATGGATTTGTGCTCTGTAATATTTTTTATATATTTTACTTTTTTGTTTTTTACTCAATGGAGTAGAAACATTATTTTTAGGTCGTAAAAACATAAAAATAGTACCTATTTTAGGTTGAAAAACGGCAAAATAGGTTCAAATATGTTGATAATAAATCCCGTAAACAAAAGATTTTTAGGAAATAAAAATGGATTTGAGCTCAGTTAAACAGGACTATTTCGCAAACAAATAGGTTATAACCTAAAAATCCGATCCCTAGTCATGATATATGTATATTTCTCGTATACTGTGATTATTCGATTGCCTTCCTTGGATAATTACCCTATCTCTTTCAATTTTCATAATAATTAAAAAATAATCCTTCGAGTTAATGTGAAATACATTTTCCTGTGAATTTTATCAGAAAGTACCATGTTTTAATATTTATAATGTTATAGTTGTATGCTAAGTACTGTCCAGCACCGTCATGTAGCTATTGCTCGCCTTTCTCATCCAACCAATTTGGGCAGAACAATGCAAGATCTCCGTTTTATTATTATTGTTATTGCTCCATCTAGAGCGGTAATTTAGAATTAATTTGAAAATATTTTTGGTGATACTTTGGAAGTCGCCCCCTTTTTTCCCATTTCTATTTGTTTTATTTTCTCTCATTTTATGGCAAATCATACATAGATAATTCCTAAAATAACGAAATCTGACTCGTGTGAATGAAGTTATGACGATCTAATCCCATGATGCGCATAAAAGCCCTTCCATCAAGGGTTTGGTTTCATTATTTTGTTCAAGATGATCAAATTTAACCAATAATGGTATTATTCCACCCAGCTCGAAGAGCTCTTTCGAATGATTTATAATAAATTACATATTCAGCAAAAAAATCTCATAATAGTCAGGAATGAGGGGGGAGGGGGGGGGCAACTTCAAAAGATTACCATTTCTTTATATTTCTATAGAAAGGCACAAAGACAGCATTAGAAACAACAAGAACATTTGCCACACTTTTTGCTGATATGGATATTAGACAACGTCTTGTAATGGCCCATTCAGTTGAGGCATTTAGAGCAACACTTTTGGAAGCAGCAAAAGAATTAGCACTTGAACAATCACAATGGAGAGAAAGAAAATCTTCGATTCATTTAAGTCAAGCAAAAGAACAAGTTGTAAGTTTATAAATTTTTTTAAATTTTTTATGTTTTTTTGTTATTTCAGTTTGGTCTAGGCAAATTCTTTCCATTTCGTGGTCTCATAGAAGACTTTAAAATGCGCAAAAAGCATTATATTTCTGACTATTTAGATGGTCTGTTTTTTGATTACATATAAATATTTTTTAAAAAATATTATTTATTTTTAAGGTTTAAGAGGTCATCGTACAATGCAAAAAATGTTTTCTTCAATTATTTTTCTTTATTTTGCTTGTCTTCTTCCCGCAATTGCTTTTGGTGTGCTCAATGATGATAATACGGGTGGTAGAATTAATGTTAGAAAAGGAATACTTGCTCAGGTGCAGATTAACAAAAACTTTTATTTAATTTTTTTTTATAAATTAATTTTGAGATAATTAATAATTTAATAAAAAAATTATTTAAATATAAACGATAATCCCGACCAATTTCTCTCTCTCTCTTTTCGCATTCAGACTTTTTTTATAAAATTTGAATAAATTTATAAGAGAATTTCTTTTTTTAAATTTAGGGTTGTCGGTTTTTGGAAAAATCTTCGGATATCCGAAATTGAACCAAAAATACCTTTAAAAAATAATTTTCAGGCAATCGGAGGAGTTTTCTTTGCTGCTTTTGGTGGCCAACCAATGATTATTTTATTAACAACTGTCCCTCTAGCAATATATATTAAAGTAATATATAGGATATCAGAATCCCTTGGTTATGATTTTTTCGCAATGTATGCTTGTGTTGGCCTTTGGTGTCAATTTTTTCTAGTTATTTACGCAGCTACTGAACTTTGTAGTTTAATGAAATTGGCAACAAGATCAGCAGAAGAAATGTTTTCACTTTTTATAGCTATTGCTTTTGCTGTTGAAAGTGTTAGAGCAATTCATACAAGTACAGTTTTTTTAATTTTTAAATACATAATTAATAAATAATCTGTCCGATAAAAATATTTTTTTTAATTTACTAGGTTGTTTCATAAAATTGCGGCTTTACAAAAATAGTTATAAAATTTTTTGTAGATGTCCGCAAGCTTTGAGATATCCAAAATCTACGATGGGTTTTTCGCCACAACTCCCTGAATACCAACGGAAAATTCTCAAATTTTGGGATCTATTAGAAAACATTCTAAAAAAGACATATCCAAAATTTGACAGCTTTTGAACGATTATAAAAATTCTATAACTATTTTTGTTAAAACACCATTTTTTATGAAATTACCTAGTATATGTATAACTTTTATTTATCAGGTTTCATCGATAACTATCTAAGCTGTATTGACACAACATCAGTTGCTCAACCTCAAAACTTTTCTTTATTAAACCAAAAAATATTAACAAATACAACAGAATTAATCTATCCACAGGTAATTTAAAATTAAAAAATAAATAAAATTTATTTTTAATTATATAAACAGATTGAAAATGGTTGTAATAGAGATACTTTTATTCTTTATCTTCTTTTAATGTTTGGAACATTATGGGTTGCCCTGTTTCTTTATAACTTTAGAAAAACTCCTTATTTGACACGATCAAGGCGTGAATGGCTTGCTGACTATGCATTACCTGCTTCTGTTCTTATAATGTCATTTCTTGGAGAACATACATTTTCTAAAATTGATAGTAAATTTATTTTACTCAATTAAAATTTGAAAAAAAAATTTCAGAAGATATTTTTCATATGAGGGCAGATGTTTCTCTTCTTAAAATTCCCGAATTTTGGCGCCTCTCTTGGCAGGCTATTTTTGTTTGCTTCATTCTTGGCTTTTTCCTCTCTTTTCTTTTTTATATGGATCAAAATATTTGTTCAGCTATTGTTAATAATAATCAAAATAAATTAAAGAAGGGAAGTGCTCAACATTTAGATTTACTTGTTGTTTCTATTTTAAACATGTTCCTCTCTGTTATGGGACTTCCATGGATGCATGGAGCTTTACCTCATTCTCCACTTCATGTTAGAGCATTGGCTGATGTAGAGGAAAGAGTAGCTCAAGGACATGTACATGAAGTGTGAGTATTTGAATTAATTGGATTATAATTCCGCAACTAATTTTTAATTTACTGGAAATTCTTCCCTCCAAAATTTGTTTCAAAAAGGAATTAAAAAATATTTTTTAGAATAATGAATGTAAGAGAAACTCGACTAGCAACATTAATAGCTCATATATTAATCCTTGCTTCGACGTTTTTTCTTCTACCATCACCCTTACAATCTATTCCCACTTCTGTATTACACGGCCTTTTCCTTTATATGGCATTCACTTCATTGTCAGGCAATGAAATGGTTGAAAGATTGTTATTACTTATTACTGAACAGGTTGGATGGACATGACAAAAAATTTTTAAATCTTTTTTTTAGCAAGCATACCCTCCAACTCATTACATTCGTCGAGTACCACAACGTAAAGTTCATTTATTTACAACTTGCCAACTCATTCAATTAATTATTCTTTGTGCTGTTGGTTTTAGCCCTTATCCTTTCATAGAAATGGTCTTTCCAATTGTTTGTTTTTGCTTCTTGCCAATTCGGTTAACTGAAAAGCATTTATATTTTTAAATAAAAAATAACTTTAGACACATTCTAATACCTCGAATTATTGACTACAAATATTTGGATGCTTTGGATGGTCGACATTAATTAATCAATTAAATGCCAATTAAATGCCCAGATTTTGTTTTTATTATAACAATTATTTTTAATTTTCTCATATTTTTATTCGGGTTAATGCTTTTCTACTTCTAGTCATTTTTATTAAATATATTCTCAATTTTGCATTTCTTTAGCTAAAAATTTAAATGAAAAATATTATTTTAAACTTATTACACCTAAATAAAAATTATATTAACGCCTAGAAAGTTTTATGAAATTAATTTTCCGTGTTCCACACGATGCTATAATTTTTATTTAAAAATTTTTGGTCACAGTTCGGAAGGTTCCCTTATAAGCTTTTTAATATTATTAAATCTCATGAATTTGAAGTTAAAAGAATTTTTTATGAAAAATACATATATGTTAGGAGCTTTAAAAATTTAATTTTTGTTAATTCTTTATTTCATACTTTTCTAGTCTCTGTATTTAAAATTCCTATATTCTCTAATTTTATAATTAATCACTCATTGAATTTTATTATTTTAATTTTACAATACGTGTTTTTATTTTATATTGATTTCTATTTCCGGTTTTGAAAATTATTTTTAGTCTCAACTTTTTTAATGATTATATTTTTTATTTTATGATAAATTGATAAAGTTGTGGAGATTTTTGTATTAAATTAAAAATATTTTTATAAAAAATTTAAATTTATACTAAAAATTAAATAAAAATTTTTATTTAATAAATAATCAAATTTTAACAATATCATTTAAAAATATTATTTATTAACAGTTTAAAATTAATAATAATTTTTGGTGTTTTACATAATTATTTCTTTTTACTTTTCATTATCATCTTTATTATTAATTTGATTTTTAAATAGCTCAAAATTATTTGTTTTAATTACTAACTCCTTTACATAATTCAACTCTAAAATTAAATTTACTAAATTAATTTTTTAAAAATTCCTTTTTTACCTTCTTCTAAAGACAACAATTCTTTTTCTAAATTATCTTTCAATTTATTTTTAGCATAAATAATTTCCTCATTAATAATCGAGTTACCAAAATTTTTAGGATTATTAATTTCCAAAAAGAATTTTTTATATTTAATTAATTCCTCAATTAAATTATCTAAATTTTCTAAAATTATTTCTTTATCATTTTTATTTTTATTTCCAATTAATTTAGTTAATTCTTCATTTAATTTAATATATTTCATATAATAGAAAGCGCCAAGTTTCATTTTCTTTTTTGAATAATCATCTAAATCTTCATTATTCTCAGAATTAAATAATTCTTTCTAAAAAATATTTTTTATAAATTACTTTTTATAAAAAATATTTTTCGACCTCCAATTTATTTATTTCATCATCACAATTATTTATTAAATATTTTGTCAATTTAATAAATTCTGCATTTTCCAATTTTAATTTTTCTAGTAAATTTAAAGATTTTAATGCATCAACAGCTAAAAATAAATTTTCTTTTTGAGCATTTTCATTCAAAAATGAAAGAAATATTAAAATATTTTTAAAATTATTTCTTTCATTTTCTTTTATTTTTTCTAAAAAATTAATTTCAATTCCACATTCTTTAGCTATTTTAATTTGTTTATTTTCTTTTAAATAATTTTCTGCTAATTCTTTTGCTAAATTAACATTTCCTTTTTTTGAAGATTTTGAAATATTATAATAAATATTGTTTTTCTCATACCAGTTAGGCTCTTTTTTTGCTTTAATTTTTGTTAAGAATTTCTCGGAGAATTTTGAACCTCCAACGTTTACAGAGAAGAAATTTGGTTGGAAATATTTTTTATTTCCAAACATTTGAAGATTTGCTATAAAAATATACATTTTTTTATTATTTTAAAAGAGACGAGAAATAATTTTGGCATTGGAGAGACAGATTGGGAGTGTCGGAAAACCTCAATTTCGATAACCAAGATTTTTGTTTGATATATAGTCTCGATCAGTTCTCTAATTAAAATAACCAGAGATTGGAAGGAAATGCTAAAGATGTCGAAAATCGTGAATCTGAAGCGGGGGGAGAGGAGGGGGTGCCAAACGAAAAAATGACAGCATTAAATTTATTGGAGATTAGAACGAAATTTAATATTAATTTCACGTTCCTGGTCAAGTCTCTATCCTATTACTTAACACATAAAATTTAATTATTTAGCTACTATTATTACAAATAATTTACGAGGATTTTGTATATTTTGCTTTAAATTCATTGAATTATTTTCTTTAACTATTAAATTAAAAATCAAATAATATTTAATAATTTTAGGAAAATTAAATAATTGAGAGAAGAACATTTTAAAACTTAATAAATAAAGAAATATGTGTAAATAAATTGAAATCTTTAATTTAAATTGGTATTAATTATTACTTAATGATTTAAAATGTTTTTTTTCTGACTCAATTTTTTCGTTTATATAAATTCAAATCTTGCTTATTGTTTCAAGTGAATAATAAACAGGGTGGTTGCCCATTCTCGAGTTTCACCTGATATTTACCTTATTTAATTGTTGAATCCCTATTTTCGTGTTTTGGAATTGGCTACCCTGATAATAAAGCCTTTATGTTGAAGGAAAGGAAAATAAGCATATTAAATTATCAGAAATAAAAAAATTAAAAATAAATTAATATATTTATATAATAAATTTAAATATCTCCCAGTTTACACTTAAAGTTTTTTATTTACATCACAATTATTAATTTTATATTTCTAAGGATGATTCTTATAAAATAATTCTTATTAATTTAATTACATCACCCTTATTAATTTATAAATTGTCTAATATGTATATTTTGAAATAACTCTAAATTAATAATTAATTAATTGTTAGATTAACACAATTACTTTAAGATCAAATCATCATTGGAATATGATTTAATTAATTAAAGCACTTTTACTTCTATGTATCAGTAATTCTACTTCCGTTCCATCAACCAAACGTTTAAGAGAAAAATTTTTTTTTTAAATTATTTGATACATGACGGATCAAATGAGATAATTTTTAAATTAATTTATTATTCTTTAATAATTTTTGTTTATTTTATATACAAGCAGCTTTTATATTAGAATAAATTTTTTATTATTGTTAATTTCTTTGATTATAATCACCAATATACATACATGATATAAAAAACCTCGGTGCATTGTTCAATAAGAAAAATTGCCAAGAACATTGCCAGAAACATTAAATAAAACATAATTTAAATTCGAATATCAATTTTCGATTTTTTGGCTTTTTTATAAATGCCCTTTTCAAGTCCCCCCCCCCCCCCCCATGCCTATTTCTCAATGCACTCTCGATGCCCTTTTACAATAGACTGCTTGCCGCTAACAACATCCACAAGATAATCAATGAATTTTATTTATTAATTAGTCAGTCGATTTTAAATTGACGTTTAAATATTTTTATTTTATAAGAAATAAACTACAAAAACGGATTGTTATAAATTAAATTTACAATTACAGTATTTAAATAAATAGAACTAGTTTTTCTTTGTTAATTCCTAGTTTTAAGTTGTCTGTGTGAACAATGGAGTACTGCTTGCCACAATGTCAAAAACTAGAGGATAAACTCTTGAGACTATATTAAAAATTTAGGCCTAAACCTCTTGGAGGGAAGTTCTTAATATAAAAATCCACCTAGGTAATTCAATTAAAATTATCACGTTCCCACAAAAAAGTCAAAATACAAATTAGGTAAAATTTAAAACATATTTAATCCAATAAAAACTAAAATAGCTTCAACTTATTTGTCAGGCCAAACAAAGTCTAAATTTAAAGAGAGGGGGGGGGTGGGTAGCTATTAAAATTAATTTTTATTGTTTATTATTGAAATTTATAAAAAAAAAAGAATCAATTAATATTATTTATCACAGGACTTCGCCCTCCTCACCTCCCTCTATTAAAATTCTTTATTCATTACTCTTATTTTTATTGACAGATTTAAAAAGATGCCCTTTAATTATTATTTTAAATTAATTTATTTAACAATTTTCTTTTATTTTTGTTTAATTTATTTCGATAATGTTTTTGGTGTTAAACAAAATTTAAAAACAATTGGTAAAAGATTTAAAACACAAAATGATATCGAAAAAGTAAAAAATGAGCATTGTTGGGAAAAGAAAACAAATTTAAATATTGAACAAATTTTTGATTGTCTTCATCTATTGATAAATATTTGTTCTTGGGAAATACCAGACACAATTGTGATTAATTTAAAAGAAGAATTAAATAATGAATTATTAAGTATTTTACCTAAAAAGTTAATTGTTGATGAAAATGGAATAAATATTGGTGGATTTTTGGCAAAAGAATTGTGGAAAGCTAAAGATTTAAAAGAATTTTTAAATGAAAATTTTGATAAAACTAAAGAATTTTTGATTGAAATTAAGTCAAAAATTGAAAATTTTGAATTAAATATTAAAAATAAAAAAATTAAAGGAATTATTAAAGTACTTGGAGAATTGGATAAATCAAAATTTAATTTAACAAATTTATCTTTTAATAAAAAGAAAGAAAATAAAATTAACAAAATTATTTTGAAAATATTAAAAAAACATTATAAATTAATTATACAAATTTATCAAAAAATTATAACATTCGAGAAAACAAAAATCGAAAATAATTCTAACAATAAGGTTAATAATATTTAAAATACATATTTATGTAGCAGTGTTGCCGCGGGTACAAAAAATCTTCGGGTTCGGGTATAGGGTTGGAGCGTTTTCATTCCGGGTTTCGGGTTGGCAAAAATTTCGGGTACGGGTTTCGTGTTAGAAAATTTTCTTTTTGGGTATCGGGTTTCTGGCGGCAACCCTGATACATAAATTACTTTTGTGGGGACTTTAGTTTAAAGAAAGATTAGGAATGTAAAAGAATTTTTAATATTTTTAATGAAAAAGCAGAAATGTTTTTGTCTTAAATAAAATTTTTGTCTACTAA